TTTGAAATTATCAATACTCTTCAGCAATAGGATCATAAACAAACAAATACATTTACACAAAAGACATATTATACCCGATTACTGTAAATAGATAAGTAACGAATGTACAATATGCGTTTGATGTATTTTCGTAAGTGTTAGTTCTCCTACAGTGGCATATAGGCGGGATTCATGTTCAGTGAATAGAAATACTATGGTAAAGAGCTCCCGATGATCGCCTGTGCTTTTCTCATTACCTTTCTTCATAAAATTAATTCATCAGTTCCCTACAACCTCATTAATCACATCTCTTAGTCACATACTCATATGACTTTAAATATGGAAATGGAATAGGCCTACCTGTCTGGCCGGCGGACAGCAGAGTTTTCGCCCTACTCTTTCATCGAATTCCAACTATCAAGGTTTATTTAACGTGCACGCCAACGAATACACAGACGAACTTCGGGTTTTCGTTCAACGACAGCCATTGACAAAGATGGCTGTCTTTGTTTACATTTATAAAATACAAGTGTTTCGCTAATGATGAAATAATGTGAGTAGTGAATTGATTATATTATTATTCAAAAGCAAAAAATGATAAAATTTAAGAGGGAAAATTTGTCCGGACAGCGGCGCATCGTCCTTCATCAAAGATTCAGGTGAATTCTGTGAGAAACTGCAGAATATTCAAAACCCTGGGAGGATGGTCTCATATGATGTTATAGATTTATTTACAAATTTACCAAGGGAAGAAGCCCTGAAGATTCTATGCAAGCGCATAGAAAGTTTAGACAACCCACTAGAGACTTCCCTATCAACAGACAACATCATACTCTTGTTGAAACAATGCATCAATTCAACATATTTCTCCTGGGGTGACGATTTTTACGAACAGACCAATGGATTAACCATGGAAAGCCCCATCTCCCCTTTAATTTCAGAAATATTTTTAACTGATTTAGAAGAGAAGGCGCTTCAAACATCCACCGTAACCCCAACATGCTTCTTTAGGCAAGTGGATGATACCTTTGTTATTATCAATCAACAAGATGATCCAGAAACACTGTTACAACACCTCAACAGGCAACACCCACGTATAAAATTCACGATGGAAACCGAAAATGATAACCAACTACCCTTCCTCGATGTTTGTGTATCTAAAACCAACAACTCGATCCGTACCAGTGTCTATAGGAAACCAACCCACACCGACCAATACATTCACTTCAAATCTAATCACCCGAATAGCGTCAAATCGGCTACAATTTCAACTCTGGTGAACCGTGCGAAAAAGATATGTGATCCCGAGAGTCTCTCCAAGGAAATTGATCATCTCAAACATGTCTTCACAAATTTCAACGGCTATCCAGGAAGTTTGTGACAAACACCATCAACAAGACCCTGTCGGCGAGTGCAGCTAAACCCCGACTGCCCCAGTCAGAATCTTCCTTCTTTTCAACGGCAAAGTCTCCTACCAAATCAAACGGCTACTAATGCAACAACCAGAAATAGATGTAACTTTCACAAAAAGCTACAGCACTAAAGATATATTAAGAGCCAATGGTAAACAAAATCCTACACAACCACCACAACCAAAGGGATGTGTTTATCAAATAGTATGCAGTTGTGGGATTGCATACATCGGGGAGACAAAGCGACCATTAAATAAAAGGATAGATGACCACAAGTCGAAAGCAGCAACCAACAACTCAGCTGTAGCTGAACATTTGAACTCCAACCCTCGCCACAGAGTCCAATTGTCCAACGTAAAACCACTATGCAAGAATATAAGCAACAAGAGAGCGCGCCGATTGCATGAAGCCACTCAAATACGACGACACAAACCAACGATGAACAAAGTTCAAGGATTGTTCCTCCCCTGCGTATGATATTCTTATCACATAATCAAGGCTAAGCATAATTCTTCTTTTTTCTTTTATATCATATTTAATACTTATCAATATTCCAGTAATAATTTTAAGTTTGTAATAACCATCATAATTTGCAAAAATGATAACTAATAATTCCCAACTATTTTTGCTTTTCAGGCATTTTTGCTTTTCAGGCCTGCGGTTATTGTAATTTAATGCACTCAATAGTTCTAACCCTGCCTTTCTACATCACTATAACATCCAGTGAAGTACCACTCAATATTTTAAATTGTCAGCCTTCAGGGGACTATTGATCATTTGTGCAGTCATTGTTCTAAGGGTTTTTCGTATATCAGTAGAATCACTCGCATCAACATCCACATATCAGTTATTTTTGTCATAACACCAATCAAATCTCATCTTCTTGGGATGTGGTCATTATCAAACCCTCATCAAATCGTTGTAAATACTCCACAACAATCTATTCTTTTATCATTTGTATTTATTACAGTCAAAGGGGTCGTTGATAACATGTCATCAATTTTCATTTTCTTTCAACGTTTGTATTATTGAAACCCACTAATCATTGTGTATACTCCACAACAACTTATCCATTAAACATACATTATGCAAGAGCTAAATCTGATTATTGCAAGTCTTAATTTAGGCTTCAGATGTTATAGAAATTATAAATTAGATCTTTATTTAAACAACAAGACCAAAATCATCTCTGTAGACCCACGGATGGCTCGGCTACAGCTCGGATTTAAATAGGATTTCACTAATTGATTAAATCAGATAAGGGGTAACCTGATGAAAATACGTCTGTTAGATCGAGGCTAAATGATAGAGTGTACTTAGCGAGGCCGCTGTAAAGCGTTTCCGTATGCCATTGAAAACTTTACTTGATAATCGAGATATGTAGGTGGAGTTAACGCCTGTCAATCAAACGATCAGCGAAGATGAAGACACAATTCGCTACCATTTCTAGGCAAATATTACAACGATGATAACTATGTTCAGAATAAAGTAATTTGACTGAATTTTTCAATATATTCTTCTTTCATCATCTACTTTTGAACTGTTATAGCAAGAATGGCCAACTCTCTATAAAAATCTCCCATAATGTATCTTTAATCAATTAGTCAATTTTTAGGTTAATTGGTATTATTACTTATTAGCGTTTAATTAAATCAGATTACCATTAGGTACACGTAATTAAGTTAGATCCCTGGTTTGTCAGCATTAACTAAGCATTGTTGTGTACATGTATATATTGTCCTGTCATATTTTCATTTTTTATCATAGCTTGATAATGACTAGAGAAGCCTGGTCGAAACGTCGCTCAGTAAAAAGCAGTAATTGTATTCCATATACACATTCTAAGTGAGGGTTACTCTTTACAGCTCGGAGTCCATTATTGTTTTATAATAACACCATGTCCAAAATAAGTGCCATTTGTAAACTGAATTTGACCAATAAGAGCCGTTGATTGACTTAGTAGATGAGAGCAATGTAAACATCAACATGCGCACACTTCACGCGAGAAAAACACCCGCATTAGATCGACTTTTTCGCCGGCGGAAACCCGTACATGCTAAGCGGGCCTTAATTAGAATTTCACCGCCATGGGTTCCTTTACGTTCATACTAACATGTACACGAAACCTTGGTTTCTCGTACCATCCAAACGACTATACCCCGTCCTTACCCCCCCCCCCCGACACACCATTCTGCACCACTACACAGAGACTTGAAATCCCGAAGAACTTTATCGCCCAACACCGGGATTGAACCCATGATTTCCAGGTTAGTGAACCAGCGCCTTATTCGCATAGACCAGCGCCCGTATGCATAAAACATCTTAAGGGCAATACATTCCTTAAAATTAAGAATTGCCCATAAAACCATCACACTGACCCGAAATTGAAGGGCAAAATGAACACACGAATTCAACACGAAAATGAAACCTCGCAAGGTTCTTCGGTAAATTTTTGGCATGCCATAGACTTTGTGAGCGCTCACGACACTAGCATTATTGCAATTCGTGTGCTGATAATTTAAAGGAAGGGCAATTCCCTAATTCTTCATTAAGGAATAAGTACTAAGGAGACTCAATATCCGTACAAAAGTATTGGTGTATACATGTGTTACTTATTGTTTGTTTATGACTAGATTAATCACCTTGAATCGGTTATTTCAGTGAGCTTTACATAGGGAAAGAGTTTTCAAGGACAGGGAAAATCACATGGAAAGTAGTTTCCAGAAACAGATATCAAATGATCCCAGATTAACAATAAATTTTCAAGTGCTGAAACGTTGAACAGAGACTAATGGCAATTATTTTTGTCATTATTCCATTCAAACAATTTAACCACGCATATGCTGAGCATAATTTTTGGCACCGAAAATTCCATATCACATCATCATGATCGAATCGTCTCAAAATATCCCAGGAGTTACCAAAATGTTTATGGAGAGATTTCGATTTGACAGTTTTTACGTATTTTTGAAACCGGTTTCGAAGTCTTTTGGTCCTGTTATGCAAGATCTTTTACGACATTCCAAAGTAAATGTACGGTGCTAAGACCCCCTAAAGATACATTTTAAATGTCCCTATAATTAATTAGAAGAGGTTTCTCTTTAGTTTTTATATTTTATGCTGACGTTTATTGCGTTAAATCTTCCTAGTGCACCCCCACCCCAGAAAACTTGACCTTTTGACCCCCGGGGACACAAAGAACAAAGGTAAATTTAGCAAGTTTACATTTTTATTGAAAGGTTGATTACTTTCGATCATTTTCGGCACGTTTTCATGATACAAGAATGGCTGCATATTCACATTCAGTGTAAATGACCTTATTTGACCCTGATTATCTCGAAAACGGCCCAACGGCGGACTGATTACCGCTCGGCATCGTATTCTACGCAAAAGAAATACTGTTGGGTGTGGTTTTGTGCCCATTTGATCGCCTCCCACCCCTGCACTGAGCCTCCAGGCTATTAGAGTTGGTAAGTAATGTATATATCATGAGGTGATGGTATTGATCTTCTCGGTTCTTGCTTTGTGTATAGCCACGGTGGCTTTAGTTTTCTAAATATATTGAGTGAATAACGCCAGGTTAACCATAGCTACACGTAACAACACTCACACACAGCTAGCTAAACAGTTAACATTCATACCGTACTAGTGTTAAACCGTTTTTGCTGATGCGCATTTGTGTTACACCGAGTTCTAAAGTGTTTAAAAGTTATAAGTTAAGTTATAAATTGGGGGATTTGTGAAAGCTCATTTAAGGTAAGCCTTTATGTTTTTTTTTCCAATTTATTTGTGGGCTACATTTATCTTTAAACGCCCAGTATTTGGCATTACAAAACGACTTTATGATTAATGGTATTTTAAACATCAATTGTTGAAATGGAAATAAATTTTGGGGGTTTTCATAAGGCCATTGCCAGATGCATTTTTTTTTATTTATCGTTTTGAGTAAACAAATGGCTAAATCTATTAACAGTTCGAATAAATTATGTGTAAGAAAGAAAGTTCAAAAGATGCCACTGCAATTTATCATTTTCATCAATCAGTAAACAAGTTTTACAACGCCCTTGCTTCTTTCCACTCGATATATTACATCATTATTATAAAATGGGCGTATTTAAGATAAGTTGTTGTTCATGTGTTTTCCCTTGATATGGATTCTAAGTAAATTTAAGTTGCTCCGTTCTTAATTTATCCTTTTTAGAGTTGTTTCAGTGTTACGATGTTTGTCTTTATTATTTTTAAAGACCTTTTTTTATCTCGAAATGTTTTTTTTATTATGCCATTTTTGATATTCCTTTAATAATAATAGGCTTATAGTTTATTTATTTTCAAACCAATTATTTCGACTGACAAAATATATTTCATTTTTGTGTTGTTTACCGGCGTTAATTAGTTTTAGGACAATTTAAATACTGCTTAATTAATTTTGTCGGTAAGCGTAACAACCTGACTAAATCTTATTAGAAAAAACGTTTAAATTTCTGTTATGTTCTTTTAAATATACAAAATAAGAGTTCACTCCAGTTCCTATATTGAGTTGAAGTAAAGTGCGTTAATTGAATTTTGCATGTTTACATTAATGTCTTATTTCAAAGACTCAGAGGGGCTAATTGCATATAAATTATTAATAAAAAAGAAATAGGTTTTATTTTCTTCTTTAAATTCTGCACATTATTTGAAATCTGCTTGCTTATGAAATGCATTGTTCTTGGGTTAATTGGTTGTAAATTTTGGGATGAGGAACTAGGCCCAAAACGCTACTCATTTTGTTTCTGGGGGCGACTATCTTCAAAAAATGTGTAAGGCTTTAAATATGAGGTCACAATTCCAAGATGGCCATGGGTGGTTCCCGATCGCTCGTATATGTTAATATTCGAGAGGCAAGAACGGGATAACCCCGCCCCCACCCATACACACCAAAAGGGCCACATTTTTAAGTCAACGGGTAAGCCATATTGTTAGAAACAACTAGTGGACAGATTCTGAATGAAATGAAATTGGGTTTCATGCTCTACTCCACTGTATCAACCAGGCTACTAAAGACGGGCATGCATTACAAAATGTGCCCGGGTAGCGATGTGTTTCCTCCTAGTCTTCGTCTAATTGTCCCCCGCCTTTCGAAGAAAGCAGGGGACTATTAAAATGGGTTCGTCCGTCTGTCTGTCTGTCTGTCCGTCTGTCTGTCCGTCACACTTTTTGGGACACAATAACTCTCTTCCTAATTGAGCTAGAATGTTCAAACTTGGTGTATGTGTTTATTAGGTCAATGCCTTGATGGAGTTCGAAGATGAGCATTTTCCGCTTAGGGTAAGCAGAGATAAGCAATTTGATTGGTTGATGCTTTGGGACACGATAACTCTCTTCCTAATTGGGCTAGAATGTTCAAACTTGGTGTATGTGTTGATTAGGTCAATGCCTTGATGGAGTTCGAAGATGAGCATTTTCCGCTTAGGGTAAGCAGAGATAAGCAATTTGATTGGTTGATGCTTTGGGACACGATAACTTTTAATTGAGCTAGAATGTTCAAACTTGGTGTATGTGTTTATTAGGTCAATGCCTTGATGGAGTTAGAAGATGAGCATTTTCCGCTTAGGGTAAGCAGAGATAAGCAATTTGATTGGTTGATACTTTGGGGCACGATAACTCTCTTCCTAATTGAGCTAGAATGTTCAAACTTGGTGTATGTGTTGATTAGGTCAATGCCTTGATGGAGTTCGAAGATGAGCATTTTCCGCTTAGGGTAAGCAGAGATAAGCAATTTGATTGGTTGATGCTTTGGGACACGATAACTTTAGTTCTAATTAAGTGAGATTGATGAAACTTGGTGTATAGTTTCATTACAGTAATACCTTGACTAAGTTTGATAATGAGCATTTTCTGCTCAGGGTAAGCAGAGCGATACGCAATTTGATTGGTCGAGACTTTGGAAAACAATAACTCTCCTACTTTGATTGTCCCCCGCCTTTCGAAGAAAGCAGGGAACTATTAAAATGGGTTCATAAAAGCATCAATTGAGCAATTCCAATACAATCCAATACAATGAATATAGGCAAGGTAAATAAACAAATAAATGGAAAAAACAAATTGAAAAAGAAACTATTATAAATTAATTAAATATGTAGTATGCAATAATGAATTGACATTTAATGACAGAAAGAAAACAGTGAACTTTGCACAACTTGCAGCAAGATGGAAAATAGACCCGTTGATACAACCAAACTCTAGATCTGTAGGCATAGAGCATGTTTTCCCCTTAATATGCTATAATTATTCCATCAAAAACATTGTATGCTTAGACTATAAGTAAAGATATACTGTTTGATTGTTCAATACTTTGTAAAAGATAATTTGTGATAAATTTATATGTGTCCTCTAATTATTTTCCTATTTCGGCGGGGGACATCAGCCTCACTGTTGGCTTGTTCCAACTGCAAAGGGTTATTTTATGTGTACGTCAACGTGTACGCGGGACCTCAGTTTTTCGTTCTCTGAGAACTTCTGAACTCGGTTCCTTGATTCTGAAATAGCTAAAAAAGTTGTTGAATGACAAGTTGTTATAGACTACTCAATGAAATATAAGGTCTGGGCAAATAACCTACAAATATTCACAAAGAAGAACCTGAAAGAAATTGCTCTTGCTATGATTTCTTTTGGAACATATTACTCTCAGACATTACCCCAGTGCTGTTTATCAGATTATCTTCAATGACGGGGAGCTGAAGCTATAGCTTATTCGGTGTAGCATAATTACACATTACAACGCCAACCTTGCAGTAGAATCCCCCTTGTCTTCAATTATGTCACCTATTTATTCCTGTAAAGAAACACCTTTACTTGGGAGCCTGTGGCATATTGCACCGGACAATCTTAATGAGGCAGTACTTACCAGGAACTGAGCATCTTGGAATTGTGACTTCATATCCAAAATCGGCAACAAAACAAGTTGAGTAGCCGTGGCGAAAAATTCTGGTCCAATATTAGGACATAAGCTGAGCGATCAGTAAGAATGTAATCGGATTTAACGTCTCATGAACACAATATTTATTTTGATAAGTAAGAGAGTGAACGTCTGCAGATCCGCTTTATTAGATGTGTGAGTGTAACCGTATTAAATAACTGATAATGGCGGAAGGTTGGTAACAGTTTGGAAACACATCTCGAAGAATACCTGGGACCAGACTGGCGCAGTACAATAGCACAATTGGCACTCGGGCAATTTTTGGACGTTTATCAAAAATTCCCTAGCATTTTTTTGGTATTTTCTCTTGAATGTTTGTCAAGCAAATAAATAAGACTTACAGACATTCCAGATCAATCTGCTCTTCTGATAATTTTATTAAGTCTGGCTAAAAAGCCTTATTTTTCTCGTCACAATTCAAAATCAAGACGACTTTTATTGGTCTACCAACTTTAGGTATTTGTTTATCGTCTTCTTCATCAAAAGGGATTGCCATTTTTCACTTTAAAAGATTGATCTGCTGATTGCCTTCATCGTTCTTAACTGAATTTCAATTTCAAGACCAAATGGAAACCGCACCCTGGACGATTGTTCTGTAGAAAAAATATGTTTCAGACGTATTCTTTGTACCAGTTTATACTCGTTCGTACCCGTATCTGACTGGTGGTTCACGCTGTTCATAGGGCAGGGACGGGTAGTTGATGTTTATGTATGAATCCACGTGTAGGTAATGTATGCAAAGATTGGTGCATGTTATGTAGATTAAAATTACTGAAAACACGGGGCAATAATTAATTTGCGTAATACGCTGCACATGAATTCATAACTTAAGATCCCTACTGCAACACAAACGAGAGCACATGCAGAGGAAACTAACCAGTTTCCCCATATGGACCTAATGATAAAATGATTTGATAACAAGAAGTTGCTATAGGAAACTTGATCATTCATTACTTTATCAATAAAAACCGATCTATATAAAAAAATCCAAATTTGAAAAAATAGACCCATAAACTATTTGGAATGAATTGTGCATTGTATGTCAATGCCATACTTCAGATAAGCTTTCCTGTAGCAAAAATCAACACAGAAACTCACGTGTTATGTAAAATTACTTTTACAAATAATTTAAGATTAAATTAATTCTGCAAAGACCGATTGGCAATATAGACTAAATCCTAGTTATTACTTCAGCTATAGTCATGTACAAATTCTCACCCCTAATTCAAAATAGAATATTTAACTACGATGAAACGTGTGTCAATTGCTAAATGAGGCTCAAAGAAGATACCGTGAACTATAGAAAATTTACGACAATACTCAATGCCAATGATCCAAGTCTGACCATATAATAACTAAAATCTTAAAAAAAACCTTTCCCGCTTTGGACCACAATTTCGAGAACAACCAAGCAAGACAAATGTAAACACACTACATTAGTAATGCATACATGGTCAGATAAATGTCGTATACCTTTGGAGAGGAGAATGGTGCAACGTAAGGGAAATATTCCCCTGTTTTCTTGGGTTGTCAGCCTTGTTGTGAGTTCATTTTCATTTTTGGTGACACATGTATCACAGTGGAAGCTTACGGCTGCCACCTCAACTGGATCCATTCGCATACACCGTCATATACGGTTGTTGTTTATAGCTTGCATTGTCTATGTACTTGTTTTGTTATGGTTAGTACACTTACGCGATATATAATAGTATGATTACGTACGAAATATAAAATAAATTGGTTGCCCCCCCCCCCACACACACACACCCATTGTCGGGATTTCATAATCACAGAATCT